AAACATGCATGCAAACAAATGACGAACATGATCTAGCGCAGTGCGCCCACACAAAGCTCAAAGATAAGAACGTGGCAAGGAACACAATTCAGATTCGACTTGTCTTGAATGGCTATGGCGCCTAGCGCCTGACAAAGATTCCCTCCCGATCAATTGTATCCACCAGCAGCTTGTTCACATGCATACGCATACTCCAGCACTAGCTAGGATCACCCTGAATGTCCCTCACACACATTCTGTACACACTCCCTACACTATCCTACATGACAGCTATGGCTGCCGTCTCCCTCCTATGCTAAGCTAGCGGCTATAGCCGCTTCTGTATCCTCACAGCCCACTTCTTCCTCGGGCACCTGCAGACCTCTGATGCACAAGTCGCTTGGACAGTGCTTCCGCATGGGTCACAGGCAGAATGAATGAATGACTTGACGCTGCCTCTTTATTTATACTCATTTGTCGAGGAGTTGGCCTCTTGACCCGGACCCAGGATGTGCACAGTCCCACTTGGTACTTGCTGACTATGTTAGGTGAGGACTGGGACTGGGTACTGCTGACTAGACTACCATAGGACTGGGACTGCCCTTCGCTGACTAGGCTACGACTGCCCACTGCTGATTAAGCTACAGACTGACTCCTAGATCCTACGAAGCGCCAGTTCAGACACATCTCGAAGGTCCTAGGCAACATAGGACCTGACCTCTCGGAACTATAGCAGCTACGACCTAGACTGACCGCACGCTACTAAAACCTAAGTCTACGGGTCGAGTCCATGCGACCAGGCTATATACAGCAGTAAAAACATACGACTTTCAGGGATTGGTCGTGGGTTCAAACACACAGGGGTCAACGATACTGTACATGGGGAAAGGGGACAGGTCTAGGGATCGAACCCTGGGAACTGTGTCTGTCACGCGACTTGAGTGAAACCGTTTCAGTTTTCTTCAAGGGTCATATATTCAACTGATCAGACCAGACAGACTGATTGACTGACCGACTGACTGACTGACTGACAGGAAGACACAGACAGGGAGGCAGATAGGAGAGCGAGTTGGGTTCAAGCCTTCAAGGTTAGGGTCGGGCTCGGGTGCAAGGTCAGGGTCAGGCTTGAGTTCAAAGTGAGGGTCATGCTTATTCTAGGGACAGGGTCAGGCTTGGGTTCAGGGTCAGGCTTGGGTTCAGGTTCAGGGTCTTCCTGAGGTTCAAGGCGAGACTCGTGAAGTGCACAGTCAACAGACTTTCGGGACATCCATTAAAATTGGAAAGATACATAGAAGATTAGCATGGCCCCTGCGCAAGGATGACACACATAAATCGAGAAATGGTCGAAATTAAAAAGAAAAAAAGAAAAATATATTAAACTGATCAGACCAGAGGCCATGTCCCAGGTGCACCGTTCAGTTGAGCTACCTCAACGGTATGACAGCTTTTCAAGCATTTTTTTATTCTGCAGAAAAGAAAAATGCATTTGTTTTTAATTGTTTTTTCCCCGCCTACACATTTCTTTGGAATTTCGTTTTCTTTCCGGTGGAGCAAATCGATCCGTGTGTGTGTGTGTGTGTGTGGGTGGGTGGGTGTTAGGACGAGTGGCTGCACGAAGCTCGCATGAAGAGAGGTGCGTTGTGGGGCGGCACGGCCTACACACACACACACACACA